ACATCTGAGTGGTGCACTACTGCTACTAGTGGTGAGAAAGTGTATTGCACCTTATTCTAAATCAATGTGGTCCCACGGCCCTCTGTGGCCCAAAGTTAAAAACTGTTGTTCTTTTGAGGCCCTCAAGGTGGCGTTCACGGCCCACAATTGCGCCACGGCCCACAGGTTAAGAATCTCTGGTTTAGAGTCATTCACATGTGTACATGTTTTTTTTCTTCCTCAGATATTCCATTGGAGAGACAAAAGCGTTGGTTCAAGGACAGCTTTGATCACCTACTGGAGCTTGCCCAGTGCCAGGCCTCCCCCGACGCTGGTGTCATTCTGAGCTCTGGGTAATGTTCCACAGATTTATAAATAAACCAGGACACACGTCGCTCACTCACCAACAGAGCAGATCTCTCTTTGCCTGACTATCTTCAGGTGGCAGATCTTTAAGGATGTTCCGGCTGTTAAAAAGCCTTTCTGGTCAGAGTTTGTTATCGGCTTCAGGTTCATGACTGATGGTGAACTGAAACGTTTCCCACACCACAAGTTTGGCCAAGCTTTCACCACAGTGAAATGTGAGTGCTCCAGCTACCTGCCGTGGCTCGAGAAAAGGTTTGTCTTCCATTAACCATTTTCATCATTAATAAACCACAAATAAACATATTAATACACTTTGGTTACAGTGCACTGAGCTGCAACAATGTAAAGTAATGGTTTGGTTTTTTTAAAGGTTTAGGAAAGCTGGAGGCCTGGTGGAGAAGAGGAAAGTTACCAGTCTTCAAGAGTTGAGTGACTTTGACCTCATCGTTAACTGCTCTGGTCTGGGCTCCAGAACATTAGTTGGCGACACACAGATGTACCCAGTGAGAGGCCAGGTCCTCAAAGTGGAGGCCCCCTGGTTGAAGCACTTCATCAGAGACGGAGACGGACAGACCTACATCTATCCCGGCGTTCACAGTGTGACTTTAGGTGGGACGAGGCAGGAGGGGGACTGGCGCCTGCAGGTGGACCCAGCAGAAGCAGAAAGCATCCTGGAGCGCTGCAGCAGACTGGAGCCTTCGCTGAGGAAAGCCAGAGTTCTCAGTGAGTGGGTAGGTCTGAGGCCAGGCAGGAGGAACCTGAGGGTGGAGCGGGAGCTGGTGCTCCTGCAGGGACGCCAGGTGCCAGTGGTCCATAACTATGGCCACGGGGGCTTTGGGGTCACCCTCGCCTGGGGGACGGCTTTAGATGCTGTGGGGTTGGTCAAGCACTGCCTGAATGAACTGCCTCTGCAGGCCAAACTGTGATCCAGCTGCCTTCACTCTGCCATTACCTAATGATATGCACTGAAATTATTTCTGTATGAGATGCAGAGTAAAGGAACAGTTCAGCCATTTTAAAGCTGCGTTAGTGAACCATTAGACCAGGGGTGGGCAATCCTGGTCCTCGAGGGCCGCAGCCCTGCACTTTATATTATTTTTCTCTGCTCAAACACCTGATTTGAATGAATGGGTGATTATCAGGCTTCTGCAGTACCAAAAACCAAAACTGACATAATTAAAAATAAAAGTGGAAATATATAAATTGACTAATAAATAAATAAATACACTTAAAGTGCACAAATATAATTCAAAAAGGTGACTTTTATTTAACGTGTATATATATATATATATATNATAAACAGTAAAAGTCAGTTCTGATGTTAAGACTGGACTATTTACCGGCACTTCACTTAGTTGTTGGCAAGGGTAAAGGGTAAAGGTAAGAAAAGATAATGAAATGAAGAATTAGTGTTTCTATTTAATTT